CCTTGCCAGCAGTAGAAGGCATCGAACAGCGGCACGACACTGCAGCTGATATCTTGTCCAAGTTTCTAGCCAATGTCACCCTCTCGAGCGCGGCAGACCAGGAGGGCAGTGAACTAGACCAGGTCACCATCTCCACCATTCACGCAGCAAAGGGTCTTGAATGGCCTGTGGTCTTCATGCCTGCTGTTTACGACGGATCCATCCCCCATTCCCGAGCGGACGATCACGACGAAGAACGGCGCTTGCTATATGTTGGCATGACTCGAGCACAAGGCTTACTGTACTTAAGTTGCCCAGTCAAACAGTCGGGCCAGGAGCAGACGACACTTTCGAGATTCATATCGGATCGGAAAATCCAGAAGCTTTTCAGCAATCGAGGGCCAGATCTTGCATTTAAGAGGAGTACCGTACCAGATTTAGCCCGCATCCTTCGCAGAGAATGCCCATCATCTGAAGATATGAAGACAGCTCTCTGCTTGTTGGAACGTCCAGAGGATGACCAGTACCCAACGACTCGGGAGGAGATTGACGGAGGTGACCCAACATGGGCCGCATACGGTGGCAAAAACAACGGTGCTGGACTAGACCAATCTTTCAAGCGGCGTAAGTTGGAATCGTCAAGCTCTCTGTCTAAAGACTCAGTAGCATCTACGATGAACCGAACGTCGGCTTTCTCGACAGCGACAACCACGATGCAGAGTGTAAAAGCCGGGTTCACTAGCGCACGAGATCTTGGAGACCTACAAGCAATGCAAAGAGAAGCAGAGCGGATTCGTATTCTAGCCAGTGCTCAATACGTCGAGGCTGATAGAGAAGTCTACAAGGATGCGAAGAATGCAGAAGCAAAGCCTGCGCGCGCAAAGGTTGTCAAGCCACGTGCAACTGGTCAAGGTTCCATTACGAGTTTCTTCAAGCGATCAAACAGCACGCTGTCTGAGGAAACCGAACCACCGCCATCTTTCGACGCGCCGTCTTTACAACGCTCGCAGTCTTCATTTGCAGCCAATACTCCACTCTACGATATCTCCAACACTCAGCCCGCTGTCTCACGTCCACCACGTCCATTCCAGCCCCTTTCGATACCCAGTCACAAAGTTACAACCCGACCTATCCTCACCAAGCCAAAACGTGCGGAGCCAGAACCTGGGATGGAGAACACGCGATACGTTCTTTTGTCCAGCTCACCGCCTAAACCTGAGGCGGAGAATACACACCAAGCAGAGAAAGAGCTCAGAGAACCGGCAAGTCCAATGAAGCAAGCCTCTTCGTCTTTCACTTCGGCAGCTGGTTTCCGTCCGGCGTCGACGTTTCATACAACATCGATGAGTCAGGTACAAAACCAGTCGGCACAGAGGAAGACACTGGGCGCGAGGAGAAGCATGCAGCCGTGGAGTGTAAAGCACAGTGCTATGCCGAAGCCACGGCCACCTTGATGTACGTTTTGAGGGGGCCTTTTCGGTTTTTGCGATGCGATAGATTTGGTTGCATGGATCGGCGTTACAGCGCTCAGTCACGTTGTTCAGTGGCATCGTAGTCGTTGGTTGTTGTCCGTATTACTATCTTTCACTATGAAAGGCCCATCATACTGTACAAATGAACTGCCCCCTACAGCACTGCGAAAGCGCTGCAGTACGATACACTGCTATGCTGCACACCCTCCACCAGACTGCTCCTGTCATATCGCAGGAACTTGAACGTGCCCTTTCCTTCGCCTAATTCGCGTAGCTCACCTGCCTTCTCTACCGCGGCCATGAACAGGCCGATCGGATGTCTTCCGCACACGGTGTTGCCCGTCTTCTTGAGCTGGTTTAAGAATTGTTTATGTGACCTACTCTCTACAGCGTCGATACTCTCGTGATCGACAGCGGCAATGCTTTCGTGTATGGGGTAGTCGCTCGGCACAGCAGAGCTTGACTTCAGGTGGGTTGCCGCTGAACCGTCGGGCGGCTGGTAGTACGTGTACCGGAATCGGGACCCCCAGTGACAGAAGTCAGATGAGATGACGAAGACATTGTGGGGATCGAAGAGGTAGGGAGCGAGCATAGAACCATAGTACGCTTCGAGGGCTGCCTCGGTATTGCCGACCATGATGGGAACCAGAGGAACAGATTTCGAGTCGTTCTGGAAGCTCGTGTTCTTGAGCGACAACATCTTGTAAATGTAGGGCAGGTGCATCTCTAAGCTGTGTTCGTCCTCGTCAGTTCCCTTTGACATGATTTCCAGATCCCAGTCTTGCTGTATCTCCTCCACCAGGTCTCTGTCTATCGTGAGGTCGCCGAGCGGTGTACGGTACTTGTCGCAGCCTGTTGTCGCAGCGCCAGTGAGATAGTAGTGGTGGGAGGGACCGAGGAGGAAAACACGTTTGCTATAAGCCGTCAGTATAGCACTAAACTCTCGCTTCATAGTCGTGCACTCACGCATTCGCCCAGTCAGCGCTCTTGTAGGCCCATGCAGCAGCAGGCCCTGAGTACGAGTATCCGGCATGCCTGCATGTCCATGAGCCTCATGTTCTCTATAGCTTCTTCGGGGAGCCTACGGGGCGATGATAGCTCGCGCATCCGGCGTCGGTATTGAGACTTGGCCCTGCTGTGAGGAAACGGAGCCGATAGGCGTGGTGGTAGCGGGAACGTCTGCGAGCCAGCCGTCGAGTTGCTGCGATAGGAGCTGTTTATTGTCCGTATACCAGGAGCCGGCGTGGGTGGCTTTGCGGGTGACCATGTTGGGTTTCAGGTATTGAGCGACGGAGCGGGATGCGCTGCTAGAGATCTTGGGAGCTGATATCGTGGCGTTGTATCGAGTGGTTGGTGTTGGGAGCGTGAGGGGCAGTGGGGTAAGCTGAGCGCGACCTTCGTACAGCCGACGTAATGCCTTTGCCTGCCATCATCGCCTGCTGGGAATGTGCAAGGGACATCTCTAGACGCCAGATGCACAAGCCCACCAAGCCATGCTCCATGACGCCTGCTGCAACGAGTGCACAGAAGGTCACGTGTGGGTGTTCGGTGATGTTGCCCAGGTGCCCGGTCGGAGGGTAGTGATGCAATTGCGATCCCGACACGCCATCACGCGACGCGCTCGCGCCGACAATTCGCGTCTCCCAGGCCAGCCACTTAGCATCATCACTCCCCGTTTCATCCCATCTCGCTATCCCTTTCGCATATCGCTCTACGAACCCGTAAACATTCACTTGCTGCCTTGCACACACCACGAATAACACCCCATCATTTATCGCAACCCGTCAACACTTCAATCCGCAGCCATGGGCCTCAAGCGCAAGCACTCCTCCGACGACTCGCCGCTCTCCATGTCCAGCTTCGGCGCCGTCTCCACACCGGATGCACAATCGCCCATGTCTTTCATTAAGGGCTATGACAAGATGATGGATACACATGCACATGCGACCTCGAGATCCAATGGCTGGGACTTCATAAGCGCGAGTCGAGTCAAGAGCAACGATTGGGGCAACCGCACACAGAAGCGGGTTCGCGACAACAGACCCGACGAGCAAGCGATACACAGTAAGCCATAATGACTCGGTGATTCGAGCTTCTAGTTGCTAATCATATCCCAGAAAACACGCTGAACATGCTCTTCGCCGCGCAACGTGAACATCCAGAGGCCGCGCCCATCCCGTCCGACGCTCTTCCAACACACCAGCCATCAACTTTGGCCTCGTCGAAACCACAAAAGTCTACGCTGCATTCTTTCTGGAAACAGCTACCCGCGCCGCCTGTTCAACCCATCTTCTCAATGCCTGTACAGCAGGACCAAGCTTCCTCACAAGTGCCCCGATGCGAAGACTGCGATACACCATTACATGGTGAGCGAGACGAGATGGATGTAGACATGGATATGGACATGGGTGGAGCTGTGGCGCATAGTCCTTTTGCATGCAGCGACTGTGGGCGAAATGTATGTGGGACTTGTGCGATTGTGTCATCGACGAGGCATTGCCTGCAGTGCGCGACCAGTGGAAGGAATTTGAGGCGGTGGTGGTAAGAGTGGAGTGTGAAGATAGTTGGATGGTGCATAGCACGGTCATTGTGGGCAGCATAGGTTCCTTAGCATTGTTGTATAGCGAGGCGTACAGGTGTCAGCAATGGGATCACGCGCTGGCCAGATAACGGTAGTATACCCCTTTCATATTCGTCATTAATTCTAGCCAAACATATGATACAAATTCTACACGATCTATCTCTGCACATGTGCAGAAATCTTTCAGACTTGACCGAATTTCAAGTAAAGCATAATACAAGATACACGACAGTTCATCACCGTCTCTATTGTTCTACATAAAGCTTCCCAGGCTCAAGACAATAAGTACCTCCGCGGTCTGGTTTGAGTTTTGTGGAAAGCGGCAATAAGTGCCGCGGCATTAATGCAGGTGGTGTGAGAACAACAAGCTCTAGCTCTAGAGAACGAGAAGTAGTGTGAGTAACACATGTTCACAAAGTGAGAGCGTGGTACCTAGGTAGCATGTACTTGGACATACCTTATACAAGGAAGAAATTGAATAGCTGCTTTACTGTCTACATTGTCTTAGGGGATGTACAAACTTTAACTAAATAGCTACTCTGCTGTTTACATTGCCTTAGGGGATATACAACTCCTAACTAAATAGCTACTCTGCTGTCTACATCACTCTAGAGAGTATGTACACTTTAACTAATTAGATATTCTGCTATCTACATTGCCTTTGGGCATATGTAAACTTTGACTAAATAGATATTCTACTGTCTATATTGCTATAAAGGTTTAAGTTCATATATTCCCTAAGGTAATGTAGAAAGTAGAGTAGCTGTTCAGGTTCTTCCATGTATAAGGATAGTATGACGAATTGCAAAGAAGCGAATTTGACACTGACCCCACCAACCCCGCTGTCGCCATTCCTCAGTCACGCGCATGGGCTGCGTTCGCCTGATGACTCAGTCAGCAGCTTCAGAAATTCAATTTAGTGTATATTGATGTGTTGAATTGAAGTTTTTCCATCAATCGCCTCTCAAGCGAGCGTAGTCTAGTGGTTATGATGTCTGCTTTACATTCTAAATGTAAAGTTACGCAGAAGGTCGGGAGTTCGATCCTCCCCGCTCGTATGAGCTATCGCATCATTCTTTTTGTCTTTTTAGAATGCTTCTACAGCTGTCCTAGACGTGTGGTTGTGGACTCCCCTTTTTTGCAAGTTTGCTGTCACCAACAAATCGAACAACCCCTCTTGCTTTCGGTCAATTCTGCCCTCGCTTCAATCCGATGATTACGCGCATACACTGCATATTTTGTACTTTGTCTATATCCTATACGTCGTCCCTGGCGTTCTGGACAGTCGTGAGAAGTTTGCCGAAATCGGTGACTTGGACCCCTCTTTTTTGACTTTTGCGAACATGATGCCCCACCACTTTGTGGGCTTGCTCAAGTCTAGGCGTCATGCTTCTTGACGGGGCAGCTGCTCATTTAGAAATGATACAAATGACAACGTCGGATTTTTCGAGTGCAGCGTGAGTAGCACGTTGATTGCTTTATAAACGATGTAATGGAAAACCTTGTCATATTGCACCATTTGAAGCATCCACAGGTTGTGTAGTGTACGTTGATCCACTATCGTAACATCATGGAGTATGCGCTCATTCGATTCTAGGTAGTGGTTATCACTTCAGATTTTGACTTCACCAATATTCTGATAACCCCGGTTCGGTAAGACATTTCCTCTGCTGTGACCTCGAGACTTGTTCCTAACGTTGAGAAGAACCCGGGCACGACCTTCAATACTTCTTTTTTACTCATCGTTGGGTCCTTTTGTTTCTTGTATACCCGGGTACAGTGAATATAATTATGGGCAGGCTGTGTCATGTATTTTAGAAATGCCAACTGTATTAGGTCTTGTGCTCGTCAAAGCAGAATGCTGTGCATCTAGCTCCAGGATGCGACCTCGGGATACTCCTGCGTACTTGGTAACAACAAGCTCCCTCGTGCTATCATCCTGGGTTTTATCGTAGATTAGTGCCATGTGCGGTCTAGGAACCTGGTCTCTCGGAGGTATTCATAGATATATTGTGTCATGGGAGTGAGAGCATGCTTCGCGGTGCAATTCGCGATGACCATTCCAAGGTTACTGTAGAGGAAGCGACCACACCTGCTATATCTTCTACGTAACATGGGAACCTCTTCTCTACCTAGGTACACCTACTCCAATGCTTTTGGTCTCTACGTGCAGATACTACCTACCTAGGTCTGTAGTTCCATACCACATCGTAGCCATGTAACATCTCTCCGCTTTATAGGGTGTTATTTGTATTTGCAGTCGACGAACGCATTATACTAGACACTAGTAAATCTGATAGTAATGTAAATGTCTGGGTCTTATTATATTGCTAAGCAACCCGAGGTACCTATGGATGGTTAGTAAAAGAATGGTGTTGGGTGGTACCGTCATGTCCGCATGACAGGCTTAACTCCGGTGAACCTCAGGCTCACCACAGCCCCATCTCACCAACCCACCATCCACCACCCACAATGTCGCACACGCTCTTCACCAAAGCGCCTTCGCTGCGCAATGTAGCCCAACGCTCCGTCCCGCGCCAATTTCGCGCCTCATACCACAGACAGTCCTCCCCGAAGATGGCATCCGGCGCCGCGCCCATCCGCACTCTCCTCCGCCAGACGACGCTCCGTGCAAGCGCAATAGCAGCGCAACGGACGTCCTACCCGGCCACGCAACAATTCTCCTACCAAACCTACACACAACAGCGCTCACGGTCGCCGTCCCCACCTCCACCATACCAAGCACGGAACACATCCATCCTAGCAGCGCCAAACCAATGGACGCGCTTCACCACACCCTACAACACCCTCTCCGCCGTCCGCACATTCTATTCAACGCCACGCGCTAAGTTCGCATCCGCCACGTCCTCAGCCCCATCCTCGCTATCTCCAGAAGCTCAACAAGCGGTTGAGCAAGCGATCGAGGAGATACAAGAACTCTACGGCACGGCCAAAGACGAGTTTGAGATCGCGTCTGAGGAGAGCGAGAAGAACACAACGTATGCGCCTGACGACCGGGCTGCAGCGAGGGAAGAGCTAGATAGGTTGCTCGAGTACTACAAAGGGGTTGTTGAAGGTGAGGATAGGCCGGTCGCAGATGAAGTGAAGAGGAGGGTGGGGCAGAGGATTAGGGAGCTAGAGAATGCCGTGCTGGCTATGGAGGAGGCTGCTACCCATGGCGATTAGATTTTCGTTGCACTGTTACCAATCAGAGAGGCAATTGTACATCACGGTAGAGAACATGGAAGTACACCAAAGGGGCATTGCTCAAGGTTGTTGTTGTAACATATAGTCCCAGTCAACTCTATGAATCGCTAATTCTTTGTGGATATTTCATGATAGGCTAAAAGCTAGCTACTGTCACGCCAAAACGCCTTACTGCCCTGTGTAATACCGACTAAGCGGTCGCTACTCAAACCTAGTCTGACTGGCTAGGTACTCGAATTCTGGGTGCGGATGTTTGGGACGTCTCTCTTCACCTCCATGCAGAATGGCGTCCAACTCATCTCTGAACTGAGTCGGGTTTGGTCGAAGAGTCGCTGCCTTTGACCGATTAGGCAGTTCCCAATCATTTTTGCGGTTCTTCTCATCCATCTCCTCGCGCAGGATCTTGACCTGCTTCTTCATCTCTTGCCACAGCTCTAGCTTGTCAAGATCAGAGTCTGGCTCCGAAGCAGGGTCGTATATGTCGCCAAAGGGCAGTCTCCGTGCGAAGTTGGTATGCAGAGTGCCGGTGGTCGATTTCATCGGATCCTGGGGGCCTGCCCACCTCTTTGCATCGCGGTCGGCCTCCTCGACGCTCTTACCACCCCGAGCGGCAATGGCAAGGAGCGACGCAACGAAAGCCTCCTGCATGTAGGCAAAAGAGAACTTGGGCGTAATCTCGGCAATCTTTGCGCAGAGCTCGTCGGGGAAGTCGAGATCCTTGTTGTCTTTGAGCTTTCCCTGCCAGAACTTTGCGTATTGCATACGCTGATCATAGTCAGGGTTTGGGAAGTAGTATTTGCGATCGAAGCGGCTAGGTCTCTTTGCAATCCCTGGGTCCAACCTGTCTAGGTGGTTTGTGGAACCGACCATCAATATGCCGTCATTGGACTTTAGACCATCTACCTCATTGAGGAAGTATGATCGTACATGGTCGCTGACGATTGAATCCAAATCCTCAAAGACAAGGTAGCAGGGCGCCTGCTCGCGAGCTTTGCCAAAGATCTGCGCTAACGAGTATTCAGGTCCACCGAAAGAGGTCAGGGTGCGGACGTAGAGGGTGGGGACGGCGAGTCTGGAGTCGCCTTCCTTGCCGCGCTGGTATAGGCTGTGCATCATGGCCTTGATGCTGATGGTCTTGCCGTTTCCGGGGGGTCCGTAGTAGATGACACCGCGCTTCCATGGCACCTTCAGGTCTTCGTATGTCTGTCTGCCATCGAAGAAGTTCTCCACATCTGCGATGAGCGCCTTCTTCATGTCCTCGTCGAGGATGACGGAGTCCCATGTACTCTTCTGTACGGAATGATACAGCTCTGCGCTCTTCTGCCAGTAGCCACCGTCAAAGACCCAGACCTCGTTGTGCAGTTCGCTACCCCACTTTGTCGCGTCCTTGATCAACTCATCGACCTTGTGCGACGCGTTGGAGAGGACATAGTGCAGCGTCGGGCTTGGGTAATACGACCCTCCGTCGCGACCTTCGGCAATGTACAGGATAGCCTCCTGATCTTTCCACTTGTACATGTACTTGCCAAAGATGACACGTTCGACCATGTAGCCAGGACTGGGGTCGAGCCTGTGGCTTGGGGGAGCATAGGAGCGCCACTTGACTCCAGGGCCGTAGACGGGGTCCGTGACCGAGTCTTCGAGGGGCGTGACTTTTGCGAAGCCAGCGGATGCGTATGCGAGGAGGTTCAGTCGTCCCTGGGGCGCGACGGTGAGGTCGAGGTTGGGGTATTGCGATCGGATTGCCTCGATGAGAACGACATCGGTGTTGATGCGCTTGCCCGACGAGTGGTCGAAGAAAGAGAGGGCGGCCATGTCCTCCTGGGACGTCGTGTTGTCGGACATGATGGGCAGGACAGACTGTGTGTGATGTGAATGATTTGGCGTGTTCAGGTTATAACTCCCTCACCTGGGCACGCGTCGAGCGTGTGTCTGCCTAAACCCCGAGTAGCATCCAAGCTCCAAGCTTCCCCGCGCTACCTATCGATCGCCAACCCATTACGTAGCCAGCTTTCCGCCCAGAGACGCGCCTCACCACCAAACCAAACATCGCGCACCAGCTTCAAGGCGCGACTTGATGTTCCCGACAACGCGCTCGGTAACTTTGACACCGTATTCGGCCCTCCTTTACTTGCCGGTGTCTGTGTTGGTAGCGAGATGCGCCAAGCAGGTGACAAGCCGGCAGAGAGGGACAAGAAACGCCACCTCTCTGCCCATGTCCTCTTTGTTGCGACGTCCTCTCGTCTTTTCCACCTCAGAAGCCATGCTTCGAGGCGCAAAATTTGCCTCGCAACCACAAGAACGTTATAGGTAAGTTGGCATAGTCCAGACAGCTTGAAGTGTATGACCATGGTCAGCCTTACAGCCTCCAAGGCTCGCTGCTGCTTTAGCCAAACCTCAGCAACAAGTTGAAACAACCACCCTATATAAGGGAAAAACTGAACACCTAGGAGCCTACGTCGCCGTTAGGCCACCAACTTCGCAAGTTTTTATCCTGATGTAGGCTCTAGGGTGTTCGGTTTTTCCCTTGAATGGGGTGCAACGACAAACAACATTGGACTTATGTACCTCCTCACACATACGCTTGTCAAGTTACCTGATGGCTACTGGGAATGGATGCTGAGACTCGTCAGTTCTCGGCGAAAAGACACCCGCGACTCCCGGCCGGTGTATGGATAGCAGCGTGCCGGAGGACCGCGGAAACCACTTGGCCCCTCGGTAACTGGCGGGTAACCAGACTGTCTTTCCGCTTTCCCAGAGTCTCCTGACTCCTGGCACGCTCTTACGCAGGGTCGAAGTGGAGTCCCCAGATCTTGTCTCTCCACAATCTGGGTGGACCCTTCTTCCTCGT